CAGCCTTGACCTGCTGGGCTCTGGCAATCCTTCCACTTCAGCCTTCCAAGAAGCCAGAACTACAGGCGCGTGATACCACGCCCAGCTAGTTTTTTATTTATTGTAGAGATGAAGTCTTGCCAAGTTGCCCAGGCGGGTCTTAAACCCACGGGCTCAGGAAATCCACTCTCCTCGGCCTCCCATAGTGCTGGGATTTAACTTTTTGGTCCTTTGACAATCGGCAGACTTAATGTATAAGGGACAAAAAACAAGCAAACAGGCCAGAAGAACTTACAAAATTCTACATTTCAAGCTTTTGGCAGTCAGTGCTGATTCTGAGAATTTGTGACCATCAGTGCCATCAAGATGAATCCCGGAGACCACTCAGAGAAGCTGAGGATCTGTGGTCCAGCCTTCCCCTAGTCTTGGCGATTCTCTTCCTGATTGGGTTGTTCATGTTCTTCAAGATTGTGTCTGCTGGCCTTTCCAACTTGCCTGAAGACTTTGGGGGATTTGTTTGTGGTTTTGTTACTGTATGACTGTTCCCAGAAGACTCCGCACACTCAGATCTGCCACTTGCAGCAGGCGTCCAGGACTCCACAGCAGTACTGACACCAAATGCCTCCACCTCAATCTTGTCACAGAAAGTGGCCAGGGCGGTGGACAGAGCGCATAGTTCAGGGTCTGACAGGCCCATGACAACAACTTGCAGGCTGGGTGACATCCTTGGGCAAGTGTATGACCTCCAGTCATTCCCATGGCCTCTGAGCCTCAGTTTCTTCTGCAATATGGGCATAATAAAACTGACTCCTTTCCCCAAGAGGCTAGGAGGATTGACCGAGATTATGCAGGCCTCCATGGCTTTCCAGTGCTTCTCAGTGTTAGTGAGAAGCCATCTGTACAGCCTCTTCCTGTGTGCAGCGCTGCCCCTGGGGGTGGGTAAAGGTCACTCATGACATCTGTCTCCAGCACTTTCTCCCTCATCCCTTCAAATTGGCACAATCTGGTTAATATGAACAGCAGGCATCAGAGATGGCCTTCCAGGATTATTTATTCCCTAGAAGACTATAAGAAACAGGGAGCAGACGGCCTGGGTTCAAATCAAGGCTCCACCATTTAGTAGCCATGTGAGCTTGGGCAGGGTTACTCTATCTCTGTGCTTCTCAATGACACCTGACAGCTGTTGTGAGGATGAAATGAGCTGATACCTCAAGTGCCTTGTCTGTGTATACCTTTGGTATTATGTTTCACTGAACGTGAGACATGTATATACTTTAATTGTTGCCAATTAAACTATGACACAGTATTAACTGGAACTGAAATCACATACCAATTCAGAAATGTGAAACAAAAAAGTACGTATCAAAATAAATGAAGTATCGTATTATTATTATTAGAGGGCTGGCATTGGAACGTGCTCACATTTTGTGCCTTAGGATTCAAATCCCAGGTCTACCATTTATTCCTTGTATGACCTTATGCAAGATACCTAACTCTCTGTGCCTCAGCTGCCTCACCTGTAGAATGAGAATAGTATCAATAGTACCTACCACACAAGACTGTTGGGGAAATTAAACAGGTGAGCACTTACAAGACCTGGCACATAGTAGCTATGATTTTAAAGCAAAGTTATTGTCTTCAGGCTTGGGGGCTGGCCAGCGGAGGGAGGGCAGGACACACTCGGCTGGCTTTTGGACAAGGAGGCCAGGCCTGCTCGGGTTCTCAAACGCGGGTTTGAGAACG